AAACAAGGTTATTATATAGAAAAACTAAATTAACAGATTTTTGTTTTTTCACTCTTCTCAATAAATGATCTTATTCTGCCACAAGTTTCTGTGTGATGTGGGACTTCATGAGGGAGTGTCAGCATGTGGGATGGCCCAGTGTGGTAGCATAATACGTTAACTGCCAGTGAGGTGAGGCTGGAGCAGTGACCTTGCTAGCCCCGGGAAGAAGATGAAGTTTGACGTATGGATCGGCCAGCCCATTGGAGTCCATGGCTTTCAGTCCCTGTGGGTAGAAGCAGATACCCACACACAGACACACACACATACTGTAGTGTCAGAGGTGATGTCATCACGCCCTCAAGCACATCACACAACTGACAAGGTCAGAACAAGACCGTGAACATGACAGAGCTCCTCTACTGCAGTTACATCTCAGTAGTGCTTCTGGGTGTTTTTTTACATGCCACAATTTTTTTACCTTCTTGAGCTTCTTTGTGTTGTCCTCAAGGGAACAGTTCAATGGGACTTACATAATTAAGATCATGTGCCATTATAAAATAAGTCAAACTAGACTTGTGTCCTTCTAAAAAAGGCTAAACCAAATATGTCTGCCACAGCAGCGGAGCAGTGTTATCCAACATCTTATATAGTGCTATGAGATGATTTTATCTCAAACTAACAAGTTGCAGAAAGTCTGTGTCAAGCACGTTACTTTAAAAAGGTGGAGAGAAACCAGCGTGGTGTCATGTGCAAGCATTACATGAGAACTGTTTTCACTGGGTCTTCAAGGAGGATTATGCAACCACACACACACGCAAACACAGACATGAAGAAGACACTGAAATTGTGTGTACCTTTGCCTTGTGAATAGTACAGTGAAGACAGTTATTCTCCTGATCAAAGAGCAGGCTGAACTCCAGCGTTCCCAAGTAGGCTGAAAACAAACCAAACCATGGCAATTACTGCCAGTAAGTGGACAAACACACACTGTCACAAACATACTCAAAAGCTCTGAGTCATATTTGTAGCAGATGGCTGCTTACAAACACAGAGCTTCCTAATATGAATTGATTTGTCTTGTTTGATTACTGTTGGAGAATGAGCAAAAACTTTCAGGCTGAGTTCCACTATCGCAGCGTTGTCTCATAAATCATCTGAAGCACAGTGTCAGAAAAAGTGGGAGTGAATACTTTTTGAAAAATGCTTGTCTCCACAATTACTCTGCAAGCATGTGCTGAGCACATTCAGAAGCTCATTGATTAAAAAAAAATTATCAAAGATGGTTCCCCAAGTGTGCAGAATTGGCTGTGTTGTTTTGTGCTACTGTATATAGCTCAGGTACAAACACAAATTTGCCCCCCCACACACAAAACTCACTGTCTTCGTCATCAGAGTCGAACACCTCCTCCTTGTCTCCATCATTGTCCCCCCTTTTCTCCCCATCCTTGTAGCCAACCCCCGTCTCCCCATTGAAAGTCTCCTCTTTGAGGATCTTCTTTTCCCTCGGAGGTGGTGGCGTGCAGGGATAGTCATGGAAACGTGGGAAGAAGTCTGAGATCTGTGGAATGGGGAGTATGGGGCCTGGGCACACGTTGATGGCAAAGTGCTCCTGCATAGAGATCTTGACTGGCGAGGGAGGGGCCAGAGCAGTGGAATGGGATGTCGCAGAGGGGGAGGAGGCAGATGAGGAAGGGGTGGATGTAGATGAAGGGGGGATAGCCAGGTGGGAGGTGGAGGGGGGCGGCGGGGGTTTGGAAACGCTCATGTGGACTGTCGAACGAGACTGTGGGGAGAAAATGAAAAGGTGAAATGGAGGGAGACAGAAATGATTAAGGTGAGAAAGACAGAGAACAAGCACAGACCAGAGCAGAGGGGAGGAACAAGAGACTCAAAACTAGATGAGAAGAACAAAACAACACAATCATATCCACTGCCTCCTCTGAGGACTTTATACTTGCTGTGAGTTTGTACAGCAGCTGCATCCATCCATTATCTATACCGCTTATTCCTGATTAGGGTCCTGGAGCCAATCCCTGCTGACATTGTGTGAGAGGTGGGGTCCACCCTGGACATGTCACCAGGCTACCACAGGGCTGACATGTGGACAAATAGCCACACACACTCACACTGGCAATTTGGAGTTACCAATCAACCTAAGCTGCATGTCTTTGGACTGTGGGATGAAGCCAGAATGGGAGAGAACACACACAGGCACAGGGAGAGCATGCAAACTCTGCACAGAAAGGACCCGGGTCAGCCCGGCCTCGAACACGGAACCTTCTTGCTGTGAGGCGACAGCTCTAACCACCGCTCCACTATGCCGCCCCACAGCAGCAACAGCAGCAGGGGTTGATTCTATTTAAGGCCAGTCAACAGTGGCAGTATTCTGAAATTCACAACACTTCCGAAACCTCCTGGAGAAAACTAAAAATATGTTTGTTTTCATCCGCTGATGCAATCCTGACTTCTCAAAAGCCAAAATAGAATTTTCCAGAACCTGTGGCACTTCAAGTGTGACTCACACATTGTGCCAGCACACCGAGTCCGTGCACTTGCTGAATATTCAAATGTAGTGCTGTAAAGTACAAACCAGTGATGTCACTTGTGTATCTGCACCCCACTCTAATCCTCGCCTTATCTCCCTCTTTCACTCCTCTCTCTCATCTGCTAGTCGCCTGAGCAATATTTACATAATACTGGTTAAAGCCGTTCTCAGTCCTTAGCATATTTGTCGCTAAATGTAGTGTAATAATTGTTACCAAACTCCAACCTCGTTAATCCAAATGTCATAATTTCTTATTTTCCTTACAGTGAAGAGTGGAGAGATGCTGGAGATACTGTTTTCTCTTACGCACTCCCACAGTGCTGCTGTGTCTGTACTATTTCAATAACTGACTTGATTTTCAGGCAGAAAAGTGGCCATGTTTTCTTTGTTTACTGGCACTGACCCAGATGAAACTGTTAAAGGCAGTCACTGGTTACAAACAAGTAACTTCATCCAATCACCACTAAAGAATGTTACAAAGGTAGGTCGTTTGAGGATGCAGGCTTTTCACGTCTCAATTCCCTGTATATTGCTTATGTCCACCGCGCTGCTGTTTGTTAATGTCATCTTGCAGCCAAGATATTTTTCCCCAAATGCAATTATTTTACTTTTTTAGTTTCTGACGGCTGCATTTGTTATGTGAATGCAAATAATTAGCCTATTTGCTTTATTAATGGTCTTGTTTTGCTTTGAAATGTAACTCTAGGGCTGGTGACTGTAGGCAGCGGCTAATTAATATTTTTTAAATGGTTAATCTATTACTTCCCCCCCCCCAAATAAACTAGTTAAGTGTTGATTGTATAAAATATTAAAAAATAGTGAAGCATGCTTGGCAATATGAAAGTGGTCTTTCATATTGCTTTTGTCTAAAATTAGCTGAATTTTGCTTGACAAATAGGTTAAACAATGAACAGATTATCAAAATTGTTGCAATTAGTTACTTTCTGAGGCTTTACTTTGTAGCACTTAATCCAGTATGAGCTGCCTTTGCACTCGAAAACAGTAATTTAGATAAATTGCTTCAGATATTAAATGGTATTTTTCAAGATGTGCCACAAAAGATCTTATATGTCTTATATGTCTGTATGTTACTATGTATGTGTGCATGTTGCCAAAATGTCTCAGTTACATGTTATAGCCACACTAAAATTAGCCACAGTACAAAATGTGTACTAATGTGATTCTTCTTTGTAGGTGAATAATAAAATATTACTTTCATTTTAATTGAATCTGTATTACTCAGCTTTAATAAAGCATATAAATGGTCTCTTACGGTGTGTACACTCACACAGTCACGTGACTATATATTGAATATTCTAAGTTAATCTTTTAATTTAGTGATCTAACAATTTATCTCATTCATATCCAAGCAGAACAAGACTTCACTCTGTTGCATTTCCTAGAGCAAATCCAACCTTCCTCATGTGAAGTTCCAGTACTTAAACAGACTCACAACTAGGTGTGCATAAAGACCCTGCACACAGATAAAAACCCCTCAATCTGCCTGTTCAAATCTAGAATACCTATACTCATTCAGCCGTTCATAATGCTCTTATGTAACAACACTGAAATTCACTGCTTGGGTATCCACATACAGATGACCACTTGCAGCATGTTCCTCACAAACTCCAATTGCTCTCACTCTGCTTACATGCAAAGACACACAAATGCCAGCTCATGTGCACACACACACACACACTCTCTTTCACACATATGCACAAATACAGTCATCCACAAACACTTACCCAGGGACAGTCTTCATCTGTGCCAGCACTCCATCTTGCCTGCTCTCACATCCTCTTTCTCTCACACACTGAGGAGCATGCAGACCAGCGCTGAGTCAATATGTCCCTCTGTACTCTCTCTCTCTCTCTCTTCATCATTTACTCTCCTCCTCTCCTCTCCTCTGTCCCTCCCTCTTTCACTTCCCCTTCAGTAGTGACGTCTCCAGCTAAAATCCTCATCAGTCGTTAGAAGACTGTGCACATAGTTTTGTCACTCACTTTCACAGCAGTGGGGTGATTTTAGGAAGCCCGGGAAAAATGGGCAGTGAGTGTGCATGTGTTTTGGTAGGGAATGAGGTGTGCAGATTGAGGAAGAGTGACAGGGAAGCAAAATAAGACGGACGGATGAGGACACAACACAACATCCTACAGGCACACAGACAAACACAAAGAGACACTAGCAAAAACAAACGCACAGGGAGGCAGACACATACAGTATACAGTAGAAGCCTGTGGAAACACTGAACATACACAATATTGCCCTGGGATGAAGAGAAAAATCCACCCACTGAAGGACAGAGAAAGGAAATTAAATTCAACATGTTGACTGAGCTGAACAAAGGCACTGCCAGCCAGACAATCACAGTGCCAGATTACTTTGTGCTGGCTATGACTATGGCCAATATCAGCCAAGCATACGTGTGTGTGTGTTTGTTTTGTTTGTAGGCATCCAACTGTTGCAGACCTCCTAGTAACAGCTGACACTTGTCATAGTAATCGTGTGAGTCAAAGACAACAACACATCAATAACAGTGGACCTGTGCAGAGTGACGCAGCACTAAATTACTGGTGGAGAGAAAAAGTGAACAGATGAGAAGAATAAGGTATGGATGCATGGATACAGGAGTTTAAAAAGGAAATATATACGCCAGTCTGTAAATGTTTTGCTTGGACCTTCAGGACCTCCAACTGGACCTCATCCACCTGTGTGTGGTTTGGTCCAGCAACCAAACACAAAAGGAACAGACTGCAATGGACAGTCAGGACTGCAGAAAGAATCATCGGTACCAATCTGCTCTTCACGCAGCACCTGTACACCTTGTGGACACAAGCTGTTTGAATTCCTGCCCTCTGGACGGCGCTACAGAGCCATGTAAACCAAAACAAACAGGCAAGTACAGTTTTCCACCCAGTGCCACCAATTTTATTACAGAAACAGTTAATCCACGTATGTCTATATAATGAGATAATAGCAACCACCCGCAGTGCAGTAATTTGTAATCATAACCATTGTTTTCTTTCACATGTATATTATAACTGGATTTTTGTTGCCATTGTACTGAAGTCAGATTCCTTGGTCAATAAAGCTGCTTCAGATTTAAAACCTACAGTATTTAACATTGTTTTATCATCTTACTACATTGCAACTTTTCAGATTTTAGGAGAATTGTTTAGAAAACTGATTTTGATCTGATGATGCATTACAGTGAAAAGTTTTTAAAATCGGATTGGTGTTGATGTTGTATGCAGCACTACTTCTCCAGCATCCCAAATAAGTCGTTTTCCTATGTCTGTTTACTTAGTTTATTTGGTCATATGTACGTTTATTTATTAAGTAATTTAAACAAGCTGCTGTCTGTGGGTTACAACCTAAGGGTCACTACTCATCATAAAAATTTTTTAAACAAGAACAGAGAGGAAAGACTCCTGCAGCATCACTCTGCACAAGTCTAACAACAATAACAACGGTAATAATTGAGCACAGATGAGCTGAAAACATCGTCTTAGAGCAGGAGAGCTCTTCTGATTACAGCACAAGGCAGAGAACACAAAAACATAAGCACATGACACTTTAAATGAATCAACACTGGTTGAAAAAGAGTGCTAATTAATAACCACCTAATTTTCCATGGTTGAAAAGTAAAAAATGAACAAAAACAAACCTGGTGAATTAAATTAGTCATCAGCAGGTAAATACATATGGATGTAGGCACTCATCCATTTGTAAACACTGATTTAGTTTGGGTATCTCATTACTATCAGCGTTCCCTCATCAATATTGCATTAATAGACCATTACACTGTATATTGGCTAAAAGAAAAATGAATGTTCAGTCTACCAATGTGAAACTACCTATCTATAAATAGGTGCTTTAGACATGGGCCACATGTTTTAAGTGGCTTGTAATTAATGCAGAAATGCTCATGAAGTAGAAACACTAAATGACGGGATATCTGAGTTCTTGTTACGTGGATAAAACATGACAGCATCCTTTCATGGCCTTCATGGTGTTGATTTATATAGAGCTACTGTACTTGAGCCTTTAGTGAACATGAAAAAGCATGTGTGGATAAGTGAGCACTTACTTCACCCACAGCCACAGTTATGAGCCAGCTACAGAGCTCTCACAGCTGACCTACCGACCACCGAAACTCTCAAACGCTCTCCATGTGGCTGGGGACCCAAGAGAGACACTGTACTCTACCAGGAGGACTCTTACAGCACAGTCTCCATACAGCGAGTACCACAGCTGGAAGCTGGCGCCACTGCTGAAGTGTTTTAAATGCAGTGCCACTAAAAGACACTAGATGCCGGCTCCAATTAACTTCTCACTAGAAATACTAAGCTTTTTGTTTGTTTGTTTGTTTGTCTTCAGTCACTTCATATGGGTCTTTTATAAATAAATGATAACTTTGGAAGTTACTGGTCCATTAATAAGGCCTTATGGGCACTGCTTTATAGCTGTGACTGATAATTCATCCACCTGCTGCCTTCCAGCTTCAAGACTTATACCAAGTCAGACTTCCAGCTTCTGTTTACATAAGCATATTTTTTCTCCACACAGCCAGTTCTGTGCCTGAGCACAGATATTTCATTACAATGCTGTCACACAATGTTATGTTAAGTTTAATGTTACTCAGTAGCTAACTGAGATCATCTTGGCATTAAATCAGTTTATAAAATACACTTATGGTATATGGTCCACCAGCTAGCTGGCTAATTAGATAGCCTAGCTGAATCTGTCTCTCTTGCACAGATGACATTTTTAGTGTTTTTATACATTAAGTGAAGTAAATATTGTTGTGGTCCAAAACAACTTTATAACCCCATTCAGACAGATACCCGGTGAATTTAAAGGTTACATGTAGCCGTGCAGCAGCGGTTGCATTTTTCGCGTTCATACATAGAGTTGCTGTGCACAAAATTCCCAAAGAAGCTTTGTTCAAACATTGCAGGACCTGGTGCATGTTTGAAAGGTGCTTATGTCTTAACAATCAGCAAGTAGTTGAAAGAACTTGGCATTATATGACATAACCTTTTGTAATTTGGTAGGTAGCAGGAGGGCCAAGTGACCAGTTTTCAGTAAGCTCCTGTTTTTTTTCTGAGGTAACAAGCAAAGATCCTGGTGCCGAACAGGAAAGATAGTGCTCACCAAAAGCCATAACTCTGGGCTTCAAGCCAACAGGTGAATTCACGCCTCAATGTCCTTTTCATGTAAACACAATTCTCTGCTATATTCCTATGCCACAAATTATAACTCATCCTTGTACTTCCACCCTGCCAAAGTAACAGGAACGGTGCCCTTTAATGAAGCTGGATGCTCCATATTATTATACATGTAATATCTGAATGTGAAGGATGACAACATCATAACTTCAGGATGAAAATGCATTGAGTGAAGTAATACCTGCATTCAACAGGCACAGGTGCTGGCCATTCACAGTGACACCAAGCCATATGAATTTGTCTGGTTTGCTATGGGCAAGTCTGACACAGGAACATAATCAATTATGCTTGAAGAATGAAGTCTGGACAATAGTGCGGTAGTATTGATCCTTCAGGGGTAAATATTAGATAGTCTGTCAGATGGATCAGTGGCATTGAGCCATAAAGTGACACAAGTCAGTAAATAGCAGCATCAAAGGAAACTATACATTATCACTGAGTATTTTCTGTATTACCCACCCAGGAGAGTAGAGTCTGATGATGACGTGTACTGTATGCAGAAATACAGTAGAACTGAAAGCACAGGGTTGTGCAAATAGCAATGCTTGTTCATTTTTTAAAAGCGCCGTCTTACAGTAATGACAAAACTAAAATGCTTGACCAAAACCAAAAATTCACCCCTGACCATCAGCAATGCATCCCCCAGCCTGTCAGCTTGATTTAAGCACCCACAATGCTTAGGAGCACAATATAAATACTAAACATCTTAAGTGAGAGAGAGGAAGATTGGTGGGAAGGAGCGAGAGGGTACAAGCAATTTGTGAAGGTGCATTCATCCAGTGCTTCTGCATGGCAAGATAATCTCCTCCCATTACTAGCACAATGCAGTTCAGGTTTTCCATTAAGTGTACAACCACAGCCTCCCCCTGCCTCTCAGCCACCCATTAGCTCTGAGATTAAGTAAACCTCTATTTACATACTGCAGCACTAGCGCATGCTGAATTTTTCAACATTCAGTACCACACAGATGGGGAAATTATATACATTTTCTGATAAAGATCAAAGGAATTGCCCTTGAAAATATGTGAATATCTTGAATTTGAGTTACTTCTCTGCTTTTTTTTTCCCCTTCAGTAAGTACAATGCTGAGTAGTTGCTTTAAGAGCCTTATGTTAAAGTTGAACTGAAATTTAAAAACATCACCTTTTCTTATGCATATTTTCAGCTTGAGCAAAGAAAAAAAGTAGAAATGAAAATTAAAAACAAAATCAGGTTTCACTGAGGTAGAAAAGTTGATCAATCCAAAATGTGACAATGGACACAGCAAATAAATTATGACGGCCTATACAAAGCTGGTGACTTACTGTAAACACCCACTAAAAAGATTAAAAACAGATTTATGTGGACAGATGGAGACTGCAGCGTTCCTCAAATTAAACATAAATGTCATATTTTCATCACATTTTCCATATTGTTTTCATTTGAGGTTTTGTGCTCCATTAAATCACATCATCTTGGTGCACCTCTTCTACAATGATCTATGGCAGCTGAGACTAATTGATGATAGTCACATCAGTGGTAGATGGAAACATTAATACACAATTACTTTGCTGATTTCCTGGAAATTGTTCTAACATTTGTGTTACATTTGGACAAAAGCGTGACCAGTGGCACAGCAGG